CGGGGCCTGAGGGCGGTGCAGTTTGTAAACCCCGCCCCTCCTTCCTCAGGCCAGGAGAAAGGGGCGGGGCCTGAGGGCGGTGCAGTTTGTAAACCACAGCTGATGAAACAAACAAAAACAAAGATGAGCTGGTTCTGTTTGGACTTGTTCCTGGTCTTTAAGGCGCCTCATGACAGACCTCCCTCCGGTCTCAGCAGGTCTGAAACCCTGGGGGGTTTAGGGGCGTGGTGGGCAGGTTTTGGAGAGTCTTAGGAGGTCTTGACCAGGTCGTAGACGTAGATGTGGAAGTCGTCGTCGAACTTGATGAAGTAGACGGAGGGCTTGGCCTCCACCTGGTGGATCACCATCCCCGAGCGTTTCCCACCGTCCTCTTTGGCGTACTCCACCTGCTTCCCCACCAGACTGTCCACCACCTCGCCGGGCTCACGCTCCGCCGCCACGCTGTCGTCTGAGAGAACACAGACCGTTAGAACCCAAACCAGAGAGCCGAGCTTATAATACTTTATTTTTCATCATAGTTCACTTTTATTTAGTTTTAAATCAGTTAGTTTCAGTGTTTCCCCTATCATTATACAGGCAGGCTCAACTTTGAAAAAAGTAACCAGAGTAGTTTGTAAACTCAAATCCAGACAGAATCAGCTGCTGTACAGGTCCTGCTGGACTCAAACATGGAGCTGAGCTCCTCTCCTCTGTCTCACACAGCAGGTCAGACAGTCCAGATCAGGAGCATTAACCCTTAAGGGTCCAGATAATAATCAGTCTTTAAAGTGTGATAAATAAATCATTTTCAGTGACTGAGAGGAAGTGTTTTTGATAGTTGTATAATTGCATTTTCTAAATGTTATCATTTATATCTACAAGAGAGTTCTGATTATTAGAAAGGACATGATTTGAGGTTTTTACTGATAATATTTTATTTAAAACATGTTACAGAAGTCATAAGAAGCAGGTTTATTTTGAACAAACATTACAAACGTGTTCATTCCTACAAAACTATCAAATATATTTACAAACAACACTAAACTGATTCAGATTAACATGAAATAAATCATATTTTATAATGAAATGTCTGTTTCCTGCTATAAAGAAAAATCCTCCTTGTTCCTAATCAGGGTCAGGGTGGGGCTGGAACCTGTCCTCGCTGCCTTTGGGTGAAGATGGGGGACACCTGGACAGGTCTCCAGTCTCCATCAGAGACACCTGGACAGGTATCCAGTTCACCAGAGACACCTGGACAGGTCTCCAGTCTCCATCAGAGACACCTGGACAGGTATCCAGTTCAC